GTATGGATTCTGAATAGCTAACACTTCTCTACATATATATTTTCTGTTGCAAATCTAGACTCTAGTAGTACTTTAAAAGTGGTATTATGGTTACAGTTTTTTATATCTTAATCAAAGCTAGTTTCTGCAGTTATTTGTGCCTTGAACTTCTAGTGTGTGCATCACTGGTATGCTGCTCATTCTATAGCTTTAGGGGATGGTTCTCTAATCACTTAGTTTCACTTAGTTTTCACTTTTATTGATATAAACATCAAACACTCTTCCACCTATTTCACGCAGGAGGAGGAGGTAGATCATCTGAGTTCTCTTTTCCCTTCTGCCTCTGAAAGATTTTTTTCTACTGAACTTTACATGCTATATATATTTTGTACTCTCATCCGTTTCTACAGGTTTAACTGTTGGTGTTTGCAGATGATTCTTAGATTAATTTGCTTTTAAAAAGTCTCTAATCCAACATTTAAAATTGCTTTCTAAAAATCACTCTAGAGAAATATTCTAAAGAGAGTTAGCCAGTCATCCCAAGTACTGATACATCTTCTAAATTCCATGTATCAATTGTCATTTCTATAATGTTCTACTCATCATGTCCAAACTGCCAACAGCTGTAGAGTCCCCTTCTTATCGCATCACAGCAGCTAAATCCCCTTCATTCTCTTCCCCTTCCTTTCTAATTACACTGGTTCTTCCTCAGTAATATTATCCTGTGTAGGGGAATGGCTCCTGCTGTGTTGAAAGAATCCTGCTAAATCTTCTAAAAACAATATTTGATAATTCTGTTCATTTCCTCATTACTATATTACCGTAGTCTGCAAAATGAAGTCTAAATACAATGATTCTGGGGTTAGCTGCTGTTCCTCCTCTTATCTTCTGATCCAACCCCCAAGGTCTGGCTCCATCTACTTCTTTCCCAATTTGTTTTTACTGAATAAACCTAAGATCATGGATTTCATCTCTGTCTGGGTAACTTTTCTTCATTCTGAGTTTTTTTTTTTTTTGATGGATTTTATCCTTAATTAACTTCTAAAACCATAAGGGCAGCTGGTGTGGTGGTTCATATGTGTAATCCAGCACTTCTGGTAGGCTGAGGCAAGAGGATCACACATTTGAGCCCAGTCTTATCAATTTAATGAGACCCAATCATAATTTTTTAAAAGGCTGAGAATATAGCTCAGTGCAATTTCCTATGCTCAATCTCTAGTACCACACAAACAAACAAATAAATAACAAAGTCATAAGAGCACTGAGCATGAGAAAACATACAAAAATCTATTAAAATTGGAAAAAATGTCAAATTGCATATTTCCTCTTGAAAGTTTAAATGTAGGTTTTAATATATTGGAGCACAATATATTTGATCATAATGTACTTTGTTCCTTATTTTAGTTATTATTATTTCACTTGCACAGTGGTCCCTTAAGCAGTTTCTGATGATTTGCTAACTAACAACGTTTATACATTGTATGTGACGCCAAGAAATCTTTGAGAATAAGTGAAAGTCAGTTAAGCAACAAGGAGTTGTTGAAACCAACACTTAATCCGAATGGGAGAAGTGATATGGGTTATGAGCAACTCAGAGAGTAATTTCAAGGTGAGACAAGAACTTGAAAATCAGTGGGAAGCCAGAGATAGGACTTACAGCAGGAGTTGATAAGCATGAGGGAGGAAAACAATTTTGTTTTGGAGACACTTCAGACTGATTGCAGGAGACTGGGTTAGAGACCAGGGAGGAGAAGGAGAAAGAAATTGCAGCCTGAGTTACAGATGAAAAACTGTCAATGTAAGTGTGAGAGGTTTATTTTTTTTAATAGCAAGAAGGTACTAGTATTGAAATAGGCTGTCCAAATTGGCTCACCTCAGGGGAGCTAAGGTGACAAACTAATGTTCTGGTGGCAGATGGTTTTCTGTTGTCTTTCAATGACATGTGAGGCAGAGCTCTCTGATCACAACTCAACCAATATAAGACTTTGAAATTCACTTGTATTTATTGGACTCTAGCATATATGCTTGTATCTTTAGACACAATCAAAGATACCTTATAAGTCCCTGGTAATGCGTTTTCTTTTGTATTTGTAAACAGAATTGCAAGTGATAATGAAAACAGAGATCCGGGAAAGCTGGTATTTTTCAGCTTTCCCTCTTCCTACCTGTATGTTCAATAGCAAATATGGTTTTATGGGAGGGTCAGGATGGAATAAGTTTTCTTTTAATTTATAACTGCAAAGTTCTTTCATTTTCTTGAATTTTAAGAATGTGAGAACTGAGATTAATACAATTTCCCTGATAATGCAACTTCCCTGATAATACAACTCTGCAGCCCTGAACTAGTCACATTGGATCATGATCGCAGACTCTGATCACCTTTCTCTGTACTTCTTTATTTTGAAATGTCTCATAGCACCCAAGAGATCTTGACTCTGGACATTTCCACTTTAATTATATCATCATCATCTTATTGTTACTAGGAATTGTGTAGGAGTTGTTAACAAGGAAGGATCTCCCACTTCATTGTTTGAATCTTTAGCACCCTCCTAATGTATTTACACCTCACTATCACTGATTTTTAGCCTCAGGAGTTGGAAATTCACTTTGAGTCCTTTAATACCTTGACCTTACAGTTTTTACACTGCTTACATAAGGATCACTCACCAAGTTCTGTTTTCATTTGTATTCTCAATCCATAAACACTGCCCCTACTGTAGTTTAGAATTAAAATTCCCTTCCTTGGGAATGCTAGAGGAGTCTGTTCACACATTACCTGTCTTGAGGAGTTTTGTTTTGTTTTCTCTATTTCAACTTTTATAATACTGCCAGATCCATTTGCTAACACCAGATTTGATGTTACGTGTTTCCATGCAGCAACTGATGGAGTTTTGTCTAATAAATAAAACTTCTTGGTCTGGTATTTAAAGATTTATGTCCAACCTACCCTCCACAATCTGTCTCCAACTGCACTTGAAACATCTTTTCCTTTTACTGTTACCTAGCATGACCCCGTCTTTGCAGGCAAATCAAGCTTTTAGCTATTTTCTATATCAGATCCATATTCTTTGGCAACTTCCTCTCAGATTTTCCCCTCTGCTTGTCATCATTATTCTTGGCTGGGAGATCATTTACCTTGTCAGTTTCCAGGTGCTACTGTCTGTCTCTCTTCAGTACCTCTTACATCTGCTTCCTTTTTTGGCTTCTGGCGCTGACCTTGAGCCCTAAATTTTCTCCCCTGGCCTGTAATTCTCTTTCGTCTCACACTGCTGCTATGATCGTTTTTGCTCTTGTAGCAAATATTTCCCAGCTTGGAAACTTTTTCCTGTGGTCCATTTGCTGTAACCAGTTTTTTTAGCATGGCAGTCAGGTCCTATCTGTGTCTTCTCATGTCTTTCACATCCTTACTTCTTGCTCTGGTACTCTCTTGTATTATTGCTTTTGTTCTCTATGTGTAGTTAAGTTGTAGCTCTTTGCTAGTTTACTGTCTTATGCAATATTTGTCCCTGCTGTTTCTACCTTACAAACTTATAGTTCATCCATTAGCCAGCTATTCAACAGGCCTTTCTGAAGCATTGTCCTGAGCACCCCATACAGAGTAGATCAGCCCATTTTTTTGTGTGTGTTACAATGTTGCTGCTTTCTTATAATTCATGCAATAATGCAACGAGTGTTTTGCATGTATGGCTTTCATTTCAACAGGGTGCATGTGGGCCACATTTTATTCATATTTATAGTGTAGTACTTATAACAGAATACGATAAATATTTATTCATGATTTGATTGAATTGAAATCAACCTCCATACATTCAAACGCATCAGATGCCCAAAGCCTCATCCCAATAGAGTAGTCTTTCCTGGCATAGCCTGTGAATTGCGCCTTCTCTTCCATCACTCGCAAATAGGAAGGAGCCTATCTTCCTCTGATATTCAGATTTACACACATAATTTACATTTTGATAACTGCAGAGAAATCTTTTTCTTTTGTTCCAGGTTGTAAAGTGTGTTAGGGAAAATTTGATTAATCATTTTTTATTTCGTAATATTTAATACATGTGGTTTGCAATTATTAGAAGGAAAATAAGTATGTATAAAATAAATGAATATAATACATATCTTCTTTAATGGATATCGTCTGGAAAACTCAAAGGAATGAAGAACTTCGGAACAATTTATCTTTTTTGTTTTACATATCAGATAATCAGCTTCAAAGACATTGTGTTATGTTTTCAAGTTCTTAGCACTAAGGAAAGAAATGTTAGACAAGAATCAAAGTTTCCTGACCCTAGGGCAATGTTTTATATATTTTCAGATATATTAGTCTTCCTTTTCAAGTGTATGTTACTATACAAATCTTTTTGATATATTACATGGTAAGTTAATAGCTTATTTTTGCAACAGTAATTATGTAAACAATATTTGCTACATAGATATTTTTAGAAAGAGAATTTTATTCTGAGATAAACACAATTTTTAAATAGTGACCATAATAACACCGTGAAAAAAATCTCAGGATATAAGGAAGATATAGAATGATTGCAGAATAAGATGTTCACATTAAACATACTCACTGTTATTTCAAGAAGGAACCAAAGAAATACTGCACAAACTCGCTTTTATTCTTAGACCCATTAAGAAAAATAGTGCATATTTGAAAACAAATTTTATTTCAAAATCAACACTAGTATATAATTGTTCATACACAAAAATGTAAACTATAAACTATTTTGGCTAAGTAGTTACATAGTCACAAGCAGATCACATTATTAACTTATTTCTCTAAATTTATATGTTTTCTACACAAATACTGTATTTGTGAACATGACATTAATTTTTATGGTTGCCATTTAATATGGATAATTTGCTCCTCTCTTTGTGAAAAATGGAAATTATTACATATATTAAAGTTTATTATTTGAAATAAAAGCAAGGATGTGTCTTTTTCGACTCATAAAATGTTGCATTCTCAGCAAATGTGAAGCATAGTTTCTAACTGTCTTTTAATGTTTTCCATTTAAAAGGTGAATAAGATTTGTGGGCATCCAGTAAGAACACCCACACAAAGCCCTCCTTGTTCTTTTGATCCAAATAAAGAGAAGCAAGGAATTCTGAAGACCTCTGTACGGAATGGTGAAGACACACTTGCCAACAGAAGAAAGTAAGACATTTGTTTTACAACCAGAAAGAGAAAAGAAAGTAAGCCATTAATTTTACAACAGAATAGAATGTATTCGCTAATTAGACCCTGATACAGAATGGAGAGAAAAAGATCCACATTTCCTAACGTTCAAATTCAGTAACTCCACCTGCTCCATTAATCTGTGAGACTAATAAAAATTTCTATGATAACAGAAGGTATTGTATATCATAATGTGACAGATCCGGGCTTATGTGTTCGTTGTGCATTTAAAATAATTAGTATAACAGAGGACTGATTTTTCAGTCTAATTTCAGTTAATTGTAATCTAAATCCTACAAATGGCTAGTGGTGACTGTATTGGACAGTGTAAAACAAAATACATTTACATGATGTAGTAAGTATAGCTGAAAATTTAGGATATCTTAAACTAAAATGTATAAAAAGAAGTTTTCATACTTTTACCTGGAATGATAAAAATGACTGTGGATACAAAATAATGAGCACTGATGAGGGGTTGCTTCTATAACTTACTTTTCCACTACTATGCCAGTCACTATTTCAGTTACATTGAAGCCTTCATTGTGTTCCTTTTCTTAATATTTGCAATATTGTTATACTCTAAAACTCTTGAAACTCTAGGAGGGCTGGGGATATAGCTCAGCAGTGCAGTGCCTGTCTGGCAAGTGCCCCCCCCCCCCCCACACACACACAAAAGAGAGACTGTAGGAAATGTTCCCTTTATGTTTAGTAAACCAATTTATGGCTTGGAAATAGTAGGTTCTCATTTTTTTACTGAATTGAAATTCAGAATTTTACATATTTGTTTATATTTTCTAATAATCACTTATAATAACACCTCGCAGATAATTCATACCTGAAATATTTTATGTACTTTAGTCTCTATTGTCTAAAATTGGTTTCATTCCCTTTTTGGAGGTCACGTGTTGAATGTCTCATTCTCACCTTGGGTGTCTGTAAGCACTGGATCCACAGTGGATCCAGTGGCTATTTGCTAACTGTAGAAAAGAACTGATGCTTTGTAAGCAATACATCAGTTCACCACCACCTCCTCCTGCTCTTTCTTCTTCTTCTTTCTTTTTTCTTCTTCTTCTTCACACCTGTAATGAATGATCAGCAGTCATATTTGAAAAATCAGTGAATTTTGCCTAGAGTGGTTCTTAACAACTGCAGCACCAGCCGCAGCAACAACAACCACCCGAGGTGATAAAGATGGTCAGATCGTAAAGATCATGTGCATTTCAGACCAAAACAACCCAGCTGAAAAATACAGCAAAACTCACCACAACACTGTTTATTCTGGGATAAAATATGCAGGTCCCATTGAAATGTTAGAAAATGCCTCAGAAACACGAGAGGCTCATAGGAGTGGAAAGTCTGAGAAGTAACACTGGCCACTGGGCAGTAAAACTGGTCCCCACTGCAGATCTTGCAAGTTCACTCTTCTTGTCCCTGAGCTGTCAACAACCTCATCCATTAGTCATAATTCAGAATAAGCACATCCCAGATCCACACTTGTACACTCGAAGGACACGATGAGGAAAGCTGCGCTTGAGTCTGTAAACATTTCAGTGTTACACTGCTTTTAAAATCATCACTATTACGTAGTGCTCAATTGTCATAGCAGCGTGTTTTGGCATCTTGTCTATATATTGTGCAGATCTATCCATATACTAGCTCTGAATTTCATTTATCCCTCATCAACCAATTATTCTCCAAGAGGTCATAAATTTCAGTTGAAGTAGGTGGGATGATACAGGCACAATAGGTACTGTGTGTGAGCTGCATTTTCATGCCTCTTACTGGTGTTTGTCCACTCTCTTGAGCCTAATTTTCAACAGATCACTTATACTTGATGATCTACTGTTTCTATATAAATGTAATCTTGTAGCCTGGCATATCAGACAGCATTTAGGTCATCACAGGCTTCTCATCTTGCATAGTTCCTTCTGTGATCTTCCCAAATGTGTAGTTTCTATGTGGGCTCAGTGGTAGGCCAGCTTAAATAACCAACCAACCAGCAACCAAATCAAATGAGCAATTCCATGCTTTATTTCATAGACGTACTAGGGTCATCTGGCTCAATGCTATTTGCAAATGAGCAAGCTACAGAACCTTTTTTTCTTCATATAAAACTTCTGGGGGCTACTCTATAAATAGGTTATAACAACACTCAGGTGTGCAATTGTTTCCTTGAATAAGCAAATTGATATAAAAAGCACTCTACGTCTTTTTGATTATTGGTTCACCTTCCATATCTCAAGAAGATGCAGAGCACAGTTAGAAACCCTGATGAGTTGTTAAGTACCTGAATGTCAATATTTTTCACCACCAGAGATGTGTCTGTGTGTACTAAGTCATCCAGAATGATGTGATCAATACATTGTTGTCAACATGGTGTCCTGCGAGATGCCCAGACAGTCCAGGCGCCTGTCTGTCAGGGGCTGGGAGGACTCCCCTAAGGTCTAACAGTGAAGGGGCCCCGCTGTCCTTGCCAGTTGAAAGTTAAATATTTTGATTATCCTTAGTAAGGAGATAAAAGCACATGCCAAATTAGACATTAGCTGGATGGCAGGTGTCCGGACTTATTTCGACTAGCTCTGGTGGACACCACATACAAAGAAACTTCTGTAACAGGAGTCCACCCGTGGCTCTGTTTATCACACACCAACCATCTGCTAGTTTACAAAGACCAGCCCAGCAGGTGGGGTAAATGCTAGAGGTTAGGAAACACCACCTTCACATTTCTTACAACTTTGATGATGCTCTCATGGGTCAGTTATTCTTTTGTTTTGCTACTTTTGTGGGGAAAGGCAGTTTTAGAGATTTTTGATTTGGCCTTCATGGCATGAGATGTGGAAGACATGTGAGATTGTACAAAGGGCAAGAAAGACTACTACCTATGTGTGTTCAAGAGGATGATGTAAGTACAGACAAGAGGTTTGGCCTCACGGGTGCGTTGGGACTCAAGCTGAGCCTAGAGCTCCATCTTCATTTGACTTCTGTAGACATTCATCTAGATGACAGCACGATGGTACTCTGGATCTACAAGATAAACGTCCATGCAGAGTGAGTTCGTGGGAATTCTTGATAGAGGAAGAGTTACGCTGTATCATTTTGTTCTTATGCAGTATTCTTTCTTAAGGGAACCAAATCTTCCTTTCCAAGGGGTTCCCTAATTCTGTGAATAGGGAATTAGGTGAGAGACTGTATTTCTTTTGAAGCAGATAAACTGGTTTCTTTTTTTTTTTTATCTGTAATTAATTTATAAGTGTTCTTCTTGTTCTGTTTTTCTATATATTCATGTTCTAGTCTCATTTAATAGATGAATTATTTTGCCACTCTAAAAGGATTAACTTTTGCCATTAAAATTTATATTATTTCATATAACTTTGAGTTTTCTCTGAGTTCACTTCAAATGGGTTTTTTATTAGATTCCTTTTTAAAATATAATTTAGCCATTTGTAGGAATTACTTTTCTTATGGTCTATATACCACTTGTCACTTTTGTGATTTGAAAACAATCTCTAAGATAAAATTTTATTTGTATATAAACAAAATGTATATCATGAGTAACTTAAACTAAAATTACCTTTGTTAAATAGAAATTCTTAATTTTGACATCTAGTATATAAAATTATTTTGTTTAAAAATGTTTCTTCACTAAATCAAAATATACGCTATTATAGTTTTTCTCCCATTTGTATATTTTTTGTTTCTCTCATTATATTTCTTACAGAAGGAATGTAGATTTATATATGTTACAAGTAAATTTCCAAATTAAATTTTTTAAGCTCTGTGCAGGCTTTACAACGTGCTCTTAAAACACTCTCTCTTCTTCTTCTCTTTTAACCTTATGCTCATTCCAAATTTATATATATGAAGCCTTCATATGCTGTTGCACTGGTCAGTTATCTGCTAGTAAGCCAAATAAGATAACCTAAGTGAGATGAGGATGGACAAGGATAGACTACAGCAGCATGGCCAGTGTAGCAGGAATCACGGAGTATGCTTAGCTAACCTTTCTGTATCATATCTGAGAAAATAAGGTTGTATTTGGTTATGAAATTAAAGTATAGATAAAAATGCTTTTTAAACTCATGCTTCCCTAATTCGAAAAATAGTCAACATTTCTCCAGTAAAGATTTTCATAAAAGCTGATAATATTCATTTTCTATAATCTTTGCCATTTTTATGAAAAGCTAAAATCACTTTTAAATAAAATTTACAGTAGATAAAGTAGCTACATAGAGATAATATAATTGACCAATTATTGCTATGGATTTGTTTTAATTTCCTATTATACATTATTTGAAATAAAAATTATTGTAAAAGATAAAGAGAATAAATATCTGACCCACACAAATTATTAACTAAACAACTGCCTGGCGTAATTTACAAAAATGAAGCTAAGAAATATGGTAATATTTCCTGAGTTAACTCCTATAAGTTAGTGTTCTACTCATGATAGTTTTTTCTTAGTTAGGTATCTCCATTTTTTACTTACTCTATATCACATGGTATTATGGGTATTGAAAACTAATCTCTATAATTTAAACCAAATTAAACTATTAAAAGAAAGTTACAGAACAGCAATTTAGCAGTTACTATAGTTCAATATAGTTTCTGTGGTAGTAAAAAAATACACAAAATAAAATGCATTGATGACTTTAGTCTTGTAAATGAAAACAAATCAATTTTATGTTTGCTAAAATTTTAAATGTCATAGTATTCTGAAATTACATAGTTATCATTTATAGTTAACATAATATTCAGTTTTTGTTGTTTAAAATTATTAGAATGATTGCACCCTCACTTAAGTTGTTTTCACATTTTGTGATGGAGGAAGAGTTTAACTTATATAGTCTTCCAGTATTCAAACAATTTCTCCCGAAAAGTGGCTTCCTTTCTTTCTCTTTAGTAGTTTGGCTGGAATATAAATTAACAGAAGACAGACTAATAAGAAAGGAATTACTTTAGTTATGTATGTAGTTATGCAA